TTTAAACCCTAAACTGAACTTTTTCCTTTCAGTCAGCATTAGAGTTTTAAACTCTAAACTGAGTTTTTTTTTCATGCAATCAGCATTAGGGTTTTAAACCTTAAACTGAATTTTCCTTTTAGTCAGCATTAGGGTTTTAAACCCTAAACTGAACTTTTCCCTTTCAGCCAGCATTAGAGTTTTAAACTCTAAACTGAGCTTTTTCATGCAATCAGCATTAGGGTTTTAAACCCTAAACTGAATTTTCCTTTTAATCAGCATTAGGGTTTTAAACCCTAAACTGAACTTTTCCCTTTCAGCCAGCATTAGAGTTTTAAACTCTAAACTGAGCTTTTTCATGCAATCAGCATTAGGGTTTTAAACCCTAAACTGAATTTTCCTTTTAGTCAGCATTAGAACCTATTGGAACCGTCAAATCCCGATTCCGAAGTCGTTTATTTAAAATATTGACCGAAGTCAAACTTGGCCTTTTAAGCCAACCTTAAGGAATCAAGTGTTCCGATTTCAACCCAAACTCTTCCAAATCCCTAACCAACCATCTCCGCAAGTCATAAATCAGTTAAAGCAAGCACGGGAAGTCTTATTTAGGGGAACATAGTTCTAGAAAGCAAAACGACTGGTCCAGTCGTTACATAGTTCATCCCAAATTTTAAATTGTTTAACTGCATTTTTATCTAATAAGAATTTTATGTTCAAAAGATAGAAAAATCGATTTGAGGTTCAGTTGATTTTTTTTTAGGTTAAATTATATTATTTTCAACGTAATTTATTTTAATCATATCAACCAACATTTGGTTATAATAACTTCTAAAATTTAGTTATTTCTTTAACCACTTTATTAGAGTGTAATAATTCAAATCGAGTGAATATGTTAAGAGTAAATACAAAATTGATAAGAATACAATAACAACAAATAGAAACCTTGAGTCACAATGTAAACATTTATATGCGTTTGGAAAACTTTAATTGGGGTGTGATAATAATCCTAAATATTAGTATCTCTTACTTAGTTCAATAATGAAAGATTTAATAACAGAAATATTAATTGATTTTATAAAGTTCTAAAATTAGAAAAATAATATAAATTACAATTATGTCCAATATGAAATCTATTCTTAAAGAGTAAAATGGGCAAACGATATTTCGCTAATGGGCTTCGTGCTTTTAATATAGTATAGATATAAATATATATAAATAACATTCAAAGCATGTTTTTAGTTACAAATAAACATCAAGTAAAAAATTTAAGTTCTTGTAAATGATAAATATTGATAAGAAAATTGATACATATAATGGATTATATTTATTTATTCTTGATATTATCTAACAATATTTATTTAAGTTACAAATTAAAATTAAGGTATACCACAAATTTTTATCAGTAATTTGAAATCAGAATATCTTATCATATTGCTTCCTTCATAATCATGTATACTATTGTTTGTCATAGTTAGATATGCAGGAATCAATAAAGATGGACAATTAAGTTACTTAGGTATTAGATGTAATAGCTGAAAAAGATTTATTAATAATTAAAAATAAATAATTTTATAGTAAATTCTTTTGAACGTCCTAGAACTAAAAACAAGGTATTGAAATTCTAGAAAAATATGTTGATATAAGATAAAACTTTTAATAAATTTTAGAGTCCTAATAATTAGGATTTTTTTACATAATAATGATTTAATAAATAAAAAATTTAATTATTTTAAAGTACTAAATATTAGGAATAAAACTTAGATTATAATTTTATTTTAATAAAGAGTAAAAATGACGAACGGTATAAAGTCATACATAAGAAATAATGAAGAAATCAACACACCATGACAAACTAATCTTTACAACGCCAAACTATGGAAATGGAAATCATTCTCATACTAGTGACACTACGCAGTAATCCTAGATTTTCGATTCAATAACAAATAATACAACCCAAATACAATAATGCAAGTTGTAGAAGCCACATTTTACGAACCCAATAATCCCATACTAGTAAAATTTTACGGGCTAGCTACTTTATGGATCGACTTTAGAAAATATAGGTAGTGTTTAAATTTTTTTTGAAAGTAGTCACTTTTAATCCGAAAATACTCTGATAGTGTTATGAATTTCGAATTTAAATAAGTGAAAAATCTAAAATAATTTCAAAATTTTAAAATTCATGACACTACTACTAACTAAAAAAATCGGCTATTTTCATGACTTTTGAATTTATGGTTATTTTTCAATTACAAATCCAAAAAAAATATTTTTTATTTTCCCCCTAATTTCTGTTTGAAGCATCCCACGCTCTGACCACCTCTGTTTTAAAAGGCAGAATTGAGACTCGCCCGGAGCTCGCCCGGGGGCGGAGTACTCGTAAAACGCCCTGGGCTTATGTGTGGGGCTTAGTTCCGTGAGACTTACGCCTCGGCCATGAGGGCTTACGCCCCGGACACGCCCAACGCCCGGTGTACTGGGCTCACCTAATAGAACTTTATGCAATTGTATGTAACTAACTTTGTAATCCTCAAATTTTCTTAATAAATCGTTCACTATTCAAAATTACTTTTTTCTTAATAATAAATCATTAAGTTGAGAGTATTTTATGTTATAATTAAAATAAAAATTATTGCACATTATTCACTAAGACTGCTATGATAGTTAATTTTAAATAAATCTATTATTTAAAAAGTATTTATTTATTAACTTTTGTTATGTCTTTACTATATAATAGTCCATAATTTTTTATAATTATTTTTTTCTTGTTTAGGAGATACAAATACTTATTAATTTAATAGCTCATTATTAGCTAGTAACTATTTACAACTAATTAGTTATCATGGTATTGTATGGTGAATTGTGTGCATTTACACCAGGATCAGGGTAGGCGGGCGGTAGTCCGCACGGCCGTCCAGATCTAGCTGTTTCAGTACCTTTGAAGGTTGGTGGTAGTCCGCACGACCAGTAAAGATTCGAAATATACAGGAATTTTATTATAGTTTAATGACTGTATGGATAGGATTTATCCTTTTACCCAAGCAAGGGGCATGTCTAGGTCCGATACATACTCTTATTGAGCCCATGTGTCTAGCAGTTCTAACTGTGAAAGGGATAGCCCTTTTGACAACTTCAGCGGGCTTTAATCTCACAGCTGGCTAGACGTAGCCACTAAGGCAAAGCCAATAAGAGTAGTACCAGAGTCGATTGTACCACAATCTTGGAACCAAGCCAAGAAACTATATTAAAATTTCTTTATATTTTGAAAGAGTCTGGATTCTTCATGGTTAATATGCAAGAGAAATTAGTTCTTCAACATAGATATGAATCCGTTTAGCAGGACATAGTCACGGATGGGGAGAGAAACTAAGTATATAAAATACTATATAATAAATTAAATACCTTTAAGGCCGGGAAGCAAGGCCCTAAAGATGAACTAAACTTCAAAAATTTCTATTAATCTTCAACTGATTTACAAACTAATAAGCTAAATCTTTACAAAGAGAAAGTTTAGAGAGGGGGAGTAGAGAAAGAGGGGGTTCTCACCACTTACCTCTTCAAATGAAGAGGTCTTCTATTTAAAGAAAGAAAAAAAACATAAAGAATCTTTAAATAGTAGATTGAGTCCCACATCTGGGTCCCTTATACAGTGTTTCTACTGCTGGGAACAGTGTATCTACTGTTGTGTGGGGTCTTCGGCTGCTTTCAGTCAAAGTCCTCTTCTGTCTAAATCGTTCATTTGTTGGAGGAATTTTTCCACCTTTTCTTTCTCCTTGTCAGATAATATTATTTCTGGCTGCATCGGTTGTGAATCTTCTTCTGCGATATCATCGCCACTTGTTTCATTGTGCATTGATGTGTCTGATCTTTTACATTGATTCAAAGTTTGAAGTAAATTTCTTTTTACTTCTTCCAGATATTTATTTACTAATTCGGTTTTATCTCCGTCTTGAACCGAAATTCTTCGAGCAATATGTTTCACGAAGCTGTCATCAAATATTTCTTTCTGTGGAGTGGACAAGTATACTTGGATTTGTGTTTTAATAGAATCCAATAATTCTTGTCCATATAATGTTTTTGTTTTGGGATCATTCTTCATCAATTTGTCCCAAAAATTGTTGTAAAATACCCTATATAAGCAAGGGATTTGTTCCTCCGTAAAACCTAATTCAGGAGTCCATTTATGAATCCATGGGATAGAGAATTCAATAAAGAAGCAAATTTGATCAATTTTCTCTAGGTAACAGATATGATCTGCGTGATATAACTCGATTAGGAATGGTGAAACTTTTGCCCATTCTTTGTATAACTTAAGGAATGGTTCAGGCAGGATTTTCGTTGTGGGACTGTGGTATGACCACCAATTTAAAAATCAGTTAGGGATTGGTCCTGTAAATACCTTTGCACATACTTTAATAAACCAAGTATGTTTATGCCTCTCATTGTTGTAATAAAGCACCTTATCAAATGCTTGGATATAATCTCAATAAGTAAAATTCATAGGTGATTTATTAAGGCTTATCTGTCTTTCTTTCATTGTTGAAATCCCCCATTCTTCAACAGATATAATCTGTTTAATAATGATTTTTGAAAAGTTATAAACGTTTTCATTTGTGTTATAACCCGAAAAGTGCTGGAATTCTGCACTACCTGTACTGATTAGAATAGTCTCATAATAAGTGCGAGTTTTATATGATTCACCCGGGTAGTATAATCCATTAATCAGATATCTCTAGAATATCTTCCATGGTTCATCTTTTCTCTGAATCTCAGAGTTTTCTAGGAGAAATATCATTTCTTTCTTTGGTAATTTTACGTAAGACTTAATATCATCGTTGTCTTCATCTCTAGCGATGGAAGCAAACGTATTACTTTGCTTTTTGGAAACCAAATATGCCTGTAGATGACCATATAATGGATCATCTTCTGAAATATCATCCAGATGTATAGACGGACCTGATGAAGAATCTCCTTTATGGAAAACCTTTGAGTTTATTAAACTCATTTTCCCTGCTTGTATTACTGGAGAATTTTATGAGGATTCGTATGACGATCCTTGAGAATATGATTTACTAAGGGATGATCTTCCCCTACCTCTGCCTCTGGTGGCCCATGAAGGGTCCATTCTGCACAAATAATAAATCAATTATTCTGAGAAGCAATAATCCAGAATTTCATCCCTAATAATATTAGTCTAGGAATGAATTTCATTTAAGAATATGATTATAATAATTAATCTGGTTATCAACGATCTCTTCAATTATTAAGTCAATTATGAGACTTTGTAGATCTTGATTTAATCTAACCACTTTAAGGATAGTAATTAATACTTCTTCTTCTAGAAAGGTCGTATAAAAATTCATAATTAATCAAGGTATTCTCGGGATAAGAAATCCGGAAGGGAATTATCAATTCCTTTTTTGTATTGAATTTCAAAATCAAAAGGCGCTAGCTGAGCTTGCCATCTAGCAAATATTAACTTAGACGCATCATGTTTGAAATCTTTGTCAAACATATATTTAACAGATTGAGCATCAGTTTTTATTAAAAACTTTTGATTATATAAATCGTCTTGAAATTTTAAAACACATTTAACAATAGTCAACATTTCATGAGCCACAGTAGCATATTTCTTCTGGGCTTCGGTCCATTTACCTGAGTGAAATTTTATCAGGTATTCACTCTTATTGTTGGGATTTACTTGTTTTAAAATCCCTCTATAGCCAACGTTCGACGCATTAGTCTCGATAATTTTTTGCCATGTAGGATTAGCAAGAGTTAAGCAAGGTAAAGACTTAACACGCTGTTTAATACTTCTGACTAACGCAGTATGCTGGTCAGTCCAAGGCTGCCTATGATCCTTTTTCAGATTTTCAATTTCTTCCTTTAAATTATCAAAAGAAGCATCCCTGCTAGGCGTACTGGACTTATGAAGTCGTTTATTAAATTCAGACTAAGAATAAGGCGCAAAATGTTCAAATTCGTTCTTATATTTTTCAAAAGGTTTTGAACTACTAGAACTAGAACTTGCAGCTAAATTAATAATTTTTTCACGAAGTTTTTCATCGGTAACTTCTTTTAAAAGTTCTATTACATTATCAGATGTAATAGTTTTCATATTTAAATCATGAAATTGTGATTGCAATTTATAAAATTCGTCACTATCACAAGTACAAATATTACCTTTGCAAGCAGTGCAAGAAGTATCAACAATTTTATCACTATCAGATAAATCAATTAAATCAACTTCATCTTCAGATTCAGTCTTAGAGTAATAGTCAGATTCTGATCCTGGAGTGTATAACAAGCCATAAACCTTATGACGTAACTCATCATTGAGTTCTAAGGTTTTCAGCTTTTGAAGCTTGCAATTTGGAAAAATATGACCAACCTTTCCACACTTATAACACTTAATATCAGCGAGATCTCTCTTTGATCTATTCTTCGTAAATCGAGTAGATTCCCGATGCGCTTTTCTAGTATCACGCTCTTCCTTAGGCCTATATCTAGACCTTTTTTTCTTATACGGGCTATCTGGGTGAGGATACCTATGATATCTGTTTTTCTTCTTCCTACTTTGAGTAGAGGTTTCGGGTAAACCGAATTGGGTACAGAAGTCACCTAATTGGGATTTCTCTTTAAGCTTATCAATCTTAAGCTGTCTAGAAAGCTTTAGCTCATTACACAAGTTTAATCCTTCTTGTGTACATACTCCTATAAGTTTACCATAGGTATAATTACCATACTGAATTTCACTGTAACTACCCCTTAATACTTTCCTTACTCATTCAGCAAATAAGGAAGGGAGACCGTCTATAAACTTAGCTTTCCAATGCTCATATTTGTTCTCGGGTAATTCCATAACCCTACTCATAAAAGTATCTTCATACCATCTAAATTCACTAAGGGTCTTACATCTAAGCCCATTAAGTAAGGTTCTGATGGTCTCATGATTTGAGGTAAATCTACCATTGAAATGCTCTAAAATTGTAAGGATAAGGGTATATACTGCATCTTCTCTACCCTTAACTAGAGCCATACCTATGTTATCAACACCCTTGTCTACGGCTGTAGCATTAATAACGAAAGCCTTCTCTTCAACAGATAAATAATTATCCCACCAGCCACGAAGTTGGCCAGTAAAACCTGCAATAATCATTTTGCAAATAGTTCTATCCGTACTTTTAACACTTTTGCAGATAGTCGAATACATAAGCATTCTATGTACGAGAATGGTTAATTGTCTATCAGTTAAACCATCAAGATTCCATTCATAAATTTCGGAACCGCTATAAGACGTATTAGTCTGATTCCAATCGCGTTCCTCAATCAACACATCTTGAGGAGTAGGACGGGGATAATAGTAAGTTTGCATCCTAGGTTTGTCAGCATACCTACTATTGGGTTTAACTATACCTTTGAGTTTATTAAACTCTGACCATGTCTCAGTTTTATAATCAGAAACGGTCTCAAGTCTATCAGCAAAATTTTTAGATAAATCAATTGGTCTAACCTTCAAACCAGAAAGCTTTTTATCAAGGAGTTGTGCTAAGTCATCAAGAGATTTAAATTTAAAGTCCTGAATCTCAGGAGGTCTTTGAATATGAGTAAGAATAGCGTAATCAACTGTTTTACTTCCTGAAGTGGAGGCAATATCAGTTGGTCCTTTCTTAGTACTCATTTCCTTTATTAAAATAGTCAAATCATCAAGTTTTTTATCAAGTGAACCAATATGTTCTCCTAAAATCTTTACATATAAACCCAAATAATTGTTTTGAGAAATCAATTTATTAATTTATGCGATACTAATAGCTACAACATTATCATCAATAAATTTTTGAAAAGCAGTGAAGGTAATACCAGTATTATTAGGTAAAATAAAGGGGGCATGAGGAGGATAAATAGCTTTAATAATATTACCACTCCCATCTTTATAAGATATTTCTAATACCTTTATATAAAGAGACAAATAAGTTGTTATAAACCAAGGAACAAAATTCATAATTTGATTATGCAGGGCACAAGTTTCATAAAATTCTTGAGAAATATTATTCAAATCATCTTTACTATAAGTATCGAAAAACCACGTTTTAAACTGGTTCCATTTATCACTAAAAAATTCCCTTTGAATATATTTTCGTGCCCGAGAACCGGGGCTAAAATCGATTTGGTGTGGAATCATTAAGTACTATTGGGGTCGAAATCCATCTCGGATACAGAAGGAATATCCTTATCATAAATATTGTCATTGTCCTGAACAATATTTGTTTGAGGGTTAACTTTAACCCTTTCAACTCTTTCGACAGGCTTATTACTAACTTTACTAGCAATAGTGTGTAAAGAGGCTGCACGATTGCGAGCTGGACCATAAACTGGTTCAACAGGAGAAATATGTTGAATAGCAGGTAGAAGTCTATGATTAGAAAACGAATGTCTATTATAAATAGTAGACTTATTATCAAATTGAATACAAATCCTACCATCCGGATTTTGAGCAACATGCAAAAAAATCAGTATTCGACAAGTCGTTAGTAATCTGACTTGGGGATATAACCGAATTTAAAGTCCAAGTAGTTGGGAAATTAATTTCTTCCCACCTAATAGGTCTCTTAGTGGTGACCTTGGACCTTGCAAAGTTTGTTTCTACCAGTATGGTCTGATCTGATGTATCATATAACTTACATCTAGGATTCAAAATAGATAATAATTTAAAATAAATCCTATAAGACAGACATATAAGTTCAGAACCAGGCGCATAATTATAACATGCGTTTTCACATTTAAAGTCAAGGCATCAAGAATATTAACATCAGAAAGAGATAGTTGCAGATTGGGTTGAGTATTAAAATATACTGGACCATAGGCCACAGTAGATTCAATCGAACCCATCAGAGACTGTCTGAAGTTCAGATTTCTAGCATCTCTAAGAGCTGCTAAAAAGGTCTCTGGTAATCCTTTAAGGGTTAACGGTTTAAA